TTGTGCTCCCCTCCCCCCACAGCCCCTCCCCTGCAGGGCTCCCCTCCCCCCACAGCCCCTTCTATCTGGTCTGGGCTCATTTCCATCACTGCACTTACATCACTGCATTCCCATTGCAAGGCTTGGGTCCCTGTGACTGGGTTTTGAGCCCCTTGCAGCCCAGCCAGGGCTGGAGAGTAGCAGGCCTGCCCGCAGCAGAGCCCCCCAACCTCCAGAGTCCCGTGTGCCCTCAGGGTCATCATGGAGCCACCCTCTCTTCTGGTGCAGCCCTGGGGACCCTCATGTTAATCCTCCTGTATCCCACTGGGACTTTCCACGGGGAAGGGGTGTCCTCCTCGTCCCCACCTGCTTCTCCACCTCATGTAAAACTGAAGCCCTTTTGACTCCTGGAGGCTCATTCCCGGGAGCTTTGCCTCTCTCCACCTTTTGTCCCTGAATCCAGCTACAGACCGTTTGGTCACCCAGCGTCTCTGGCACCTGGCCCATTACCTTCCACTGTACGTTTCCTTTCTGAATAGCACTGTTTCTTTCTTTCCTTTCTTTTTCTTGCCCTAACTCCATTCTCTCCTGTCTTTTCAGTAGGGTTTGAACAGTACAATTTTGTTTCCACTTACACATATACAGTTATGCTAACACACGCGTTTATCTAGTGATAGGAACTCTTCACTAATCTCCGACTGCACCCTTGGTCCCGTTTGGGGTGTCTGATTACCTGCAGCATTTTCACAACGTTGCTGTTTTCCATATTAGGAATGTCTTCTTGAAGCCACTTTGGCATTAGAAATAAGATTCTTCTTTTAATTCTAAATACAAAAACACCACATTAGAAGCGTATCACCTCAGGACTGGGGCAGGCGACCTCAGAGGAGACTGGGAAGTCAACTGGAGTGGAAGCACCATGCAAATGATACCTCCTGGGGCAGGAGCTGAGGCTTCCATCTCTGCCTAAAGTTCAGTGGGAACTTCACCACGGCACCTCCAGGCTTTCCTCTTGTCTCTGGGGCTCTGCTTCTTTCTAGCAAGCAGAAATATTTCCAAGCACTCACGCCAGATATGAAGTGAGTGGGAAAATCGTCCCCGCAGTGGAACCCACGATGACTAAGTAGAATAAACCGTTACAAGCAGAAGGTGTCAGTGTGCGAAAGTCTGAAACATTTCAGAGATATTTTGTAGACCTTTCCAAGGTGGCCATAATTACAGAATATTAAAGAATAAGGAAGTTATATAATAAAACCCTATCATTCGAGCTCTTCTGATTCTGAATTTTTAATTATTCCAAAGAGGGTTGTGATGATGGTGGTGGCTCCAGACTTTCTTTTTATGGATGAAGTAGGAGGTGGAGAACGGGCCCTGTAAGTCATGTGGCGCAGCGGGAACCGGGGTGGGCTTAGACGGTGTGTGTTCAGGATCACCCGAGTGGGAGGATGGAAAGAAGAGGGAGGAGCTGAGATCACCCGCCTCCTCCCCAGGCAACCCGTTCAAAACACGTTCTATTCTGGCAGTGCAAGTTGATTTGGGAAAACAGGTTATACCAAGAATTTAAAAGAGACTAAATGAATGAATTTTTACACGTCAACAATGGACCCGTCAACAAGAAATCAAATGTGTTTAAACAGGTTCTCTAATGACTCTTACTAAGCAACAACTGAAATGGCTGAATGAATCTTGTTAGCTCAATTTGACCTTGGACTTGACAGCAAAAATAATGTCTTTACGCATATTTATGCAATATTTTATGATTCAGTTTTTTTCTAATTCACACTTTTTCTGTATTTAAAATTGGACCAAATTAGTAAATTTATACTATTGTGGTAAAGTTTTTATATAACATGCTGATAAAGTTAGGACATATCTATAGCCACTTACCTGCTCATGGTATATTAAAAATGGCATGCCCTCTGGTGTCTACTTCTGTTTCTGCAATAAAGCTTTTGTAACTAGTGTACTGTTGAGGCAGAGTCTGACTATGTCGCCCTTAGTAGAGTGCTGTGGCATCACAGCTCACAGCAACCTCAAACTCTTGGGCTTAAGCGATTCTCTTGCCTCAGCCTCCCAAGTAGCTGGGACTACAGAAGCCCGCCACAACACCTGGCTATTTTTTGGTTGCCCTTGTCATTGTTGGTTAGCAGGCCTGGGCCAGGTTCAAAGCCACCAGCCTCAGTGTATGTGGCCGGCACCATAATCACTGTGCTATGGGCACAGAGCCTGTTATATTAAATCACAGTATCTGTTCACATGTAAAAACAAATATAGTGGAATTATCTCTTATTTCATCTTTTTAAAAAGAATAATTATTAAAATAATTAACTTAGCCACGAATTGTCCTATTTCCTTACTTGTCATTACCAACTAAAATTTGGTTTTTGGTTATTCTTAATTACAAACTTAATGTCATTTAAATTTCACATTAAATAGGACATCTTTGGATGATAATACAATATCAATATTTTTATGGGGTGTTTGAGCATTAAGATATTTCAAGGGACTTTATAATCAAGTATATTTTAAAGCCATGTAGAAGTAAGATTCCATATTAGTTGGCCTCCCTCAAAAGGATATTAGGAATATGTTTATTGGCGTGTAATTTAAATTTTGAAACATTAAGTTCTGGGGAAAAAGCCTACATAGATAAGAAATCATTGATGTACTTTATTTAGCATAGCTCATTTAAAAATCTTTCTACTGCATTCCGATTATAAATTTAAATGAAGGATTATCTCATGAAGCAAGTTATGGCAGGAAAGAGAAACTCAGGGCCAATTTGGCAAAGAACATTTGAAAAGTGTCAAAATTTGTGAATAATTGTGTGTACGGGAAGATAGCCACATCAAACAACTCTGGTCTATTAACAGACTCTATTACTAGTCAATGCATCTGGTACAATTTAGAATCAAAGGCTTTGCTTTCCCCCAAATCTCATTTTCAACAATCAGGCATGAATCTTTATTAATATCATATTGGTAGAAAAAAACACTGATTGAAGGAAGCCAGCAGAAGGGCTCTCAGGGCTGATGCTAAAACACCAACACAACTGGTAACAAAGTGAGAAATTCAAACACAGCCACACTTGTCTTTACACCGATTCAGTGACCTGTGGGGGCAGATTCAAGGCAGATTGTCGTTTAAGCTCTGAAGAGTCCAGATAGATAAACCTGAGGCACAGACAAGAGAACATGGCCTTGACACAGCCGTGTGGAGACTCCCAGCTTCGGGCTGAGACTCTGTAAGCTGCATTTAAGTCACCTGCAAATTAGGCCACAGAGCTTCTCTGGCAGGGTCACTTTGCGGATTAAATGAATGACGCTTGTAAAGGGCCTGGCACGGCTATGTACTCAGCATTGTTCCTTTTATTTTCTTTCTTCTAAATAAAAAGGTTAATGGATTTTTCTAGTAAATAAGTAAAGTGACTACGTTTTGATCACACACACACATATATGGTCTTAATCAGAAAACAGTGGTTCTGCAAAAACCTACCCAGTTCGTAGCGATCTGTTAAACATCCCGACCAAAGCCAGAATTGACAACGTGACGGCACAGGTGACCATTCCCGATAACAGTCCAATGTCTTGCCTGCCGTCTAATGAAAGGAAAAAAATGATTCCAGCCAGCATTAGTGTTCATGGGATACTAGAA